CTGCCTGAGTGCGTAGAGTTATATTGTAAAAACGTTGTTCTAGAACCCAGGAATGGTAAAGATAAGACAGCCTCTTGGATCCACTGCTTCAAAAGAATTAAGAGAATAATTGCTGGGCCATCAATTATGGGGAGAAGTTACCTAGCTGGCTCCATCCAGGGTAGGATGCTATTCTCTTCCTAAGACTAAGCCTGAGGTCAAAGAAGACCTAACCCCTTAAATATGCTAGAAAAGGGACACACGTATTGGGTGAGCTGAGAGAGCTTGGCTAGGATTTGTCAGCAAAAAGGCTGACAGTCTGAGACATTCAGGGACTAGGGAGAGGACTGCAATCAATGTAGGCTGTTCCTCCCAACTCAGAGATGGTGAATAACCCAGACCACACTAAGCAGTGGATGGAGGGGGTAAGCTTAGGTAAGGAGATATGCTTGTAGGTCTTGGTTATTTTAAAATCCACTTCTCTAAGCACTGTGTACCTTCTGGACAAAATAAATGATGCTTTGTTTTGAAGAAGCTCTTTCTGTATCACTGAAAAAGTATGCTGTCAGAGGCCCCCAAAAGAGAAACCCTGGCAGGGACCAATCCCAGCTGGACTTGCTGAATTATTCATGGTCGGTACATAGGAGGCTGTAATCCAGATCCTGGTCTGAGAGTGGGTGATATGTGGAGAGGGGCCTGACACCTGTGGGAGTGCTCTCAGTGCAAGCCCAAGAAGGCACAGCTGTGCAGCCTGCCAGGGACTGGAACACACTGCTCCTATATTTTGCTGCTTACAAACTCCATAAAATATTCTTCAAAATGCAGGTGACTGGTGCTGTTAATATGTTCCAAGTGGCATCCTGTTGCATTTGGGTTTCTGGTCTTCTCTAATCATTTGAATGTGTTTGTCACACCCAGTTTTGTATGGCAGTATCATTAATTCCCCTTTCTTCTTCTCCTGCAGTGGGAAAAGATGCCATCTGGACTGAAGTCCCATTCAATTCCAACTCCTATTCAGAGTGCAAAGGGAAACAGTACGTCAAGAGGACCTGGTACAAGAAGTTTGTAGGCGTGCAACTGTGTAACTCCCTGAGATATAAGATTTACCTCAGTGATTCACTTACAGGTAAGGGAAACCCAAGGCAGTGTTAATGTATTTTTATAGCTGTGACCCAAATTACACAATACACACACAGTCATCTAGGTTCTTCATATCCATGGGCCTGGACTGAATGATTTTAAAGGATGATCAGGCATGCGTATGCTTCTTACCTTTGAAATGTGGATTATGGATGTTCCAAGATTCACAGGTTACTATTAACTAATAGTACCCAAAACAGTGCTGGACACTTGACAGAACATGTAAAAATATAACTGCCCTCTCCTGTCCTGAAGAGCTTACATTCTGTGGTGTCAGTCTTGCATTAAAAACCTGTGCCTGCACAGTTCTTCATGCATAGTTGGGGCCTAATAATTAGATGGGATGCCATAAGAAACGGAGAAGACAGGAGCAGATGAGATGGAGCAGGGATTACAGTACTCTCCTGCTGGGATCGTTTGACCTGTAAACATCTTGTGGCTCTTTTCTGAATGATGACATTTTCTGGGGATTGTTTTAATGTATTTTATACACATGGCTTTGTATCTCACTGTAACCTTTTCCTCATCTACTTTCACTTTGATTATTTTAAATCACGCCCATTTGTTTTGGGTTTTTTTTTAAGCCCTATTCCCCCTCACCCCCAACATACACACTTTCGTTATTAACACTAGCCTTCTTGACATAGTTTCTTACCCCTCGCTCATTATGTTCAGGTTATTGAAACCATCTAGTAAGTGCTGGCCTCTGTTTTGTTTCTTTATGTCTGCCAGTGGTTTGGTTTATTCCCAAATGTTTGTTGTGCCTTTATACACATGTGCACTCATCTCGAGAGCTATACAGAGCTTTTGTTTCAGTTTTCCTTTTATTTATTGATAAATTGTTGGGAGACCTCTCATCATGAAACTACTGTTGGTGCAGCTCCATTGGTGCTACAATTAGTAGGAGAACTAGTGCAAACATCACTAGTTTTACCACCTTGCTCTGTAACTCTGCTAAAAGTAGGTGTAGCTGACATGGGGCATGTATAGACTAGGAAAATAGGTTGTATTTTAAAACATGGTGGGTGAGGTGATTTTTAAACTTGGACGTTGGTACCTAATGTAGTCAGGGCAAGTTGTGTTTAGAAATCTATTAGCCTGTCATGGCTATCCCTAGGTTCCTCCTTGCTTCAGTATAGTTACCCCAATGCAAAAAACTCCAGTGTAGACAAGGTCTCAGTCACCACCATTGTGGTGTTTCAATGACAAGGGGTGCTACTGTAGAGCCCAAAATACGAAGAGTAACACAGATCTGTGTAACCTATGGGAAATATCCCCAAAGGTAAAAAGTAGGCTGTGGTGTTTGTTACATGCAGTCGTATAAAAAAACAGAAACAGTCATTGAAAGATGCAGATTTTAGGGCCTAATCCTGTCAGGTGCTGAAGACCTCCCACAAGCAACTAATTCCCTTCCACCCCTCCTGAAATCAGTACCCCAGAGCCCAGCACCTCACAGAATAAGGCACATAGTTGAGATTATGGAGCAGGAAGGAGAGCAGAGAACGTATAGGAATGCTGGCCAGACCATGCCAAAATAACAAGCAGCTATGCTGCCTGGCTCTTCCCCTCAACCCCAAAAGACACACAAGGAAAACCCTGTGGGTAATTTTAAGTTAATATCTCTTATGTAAATAGTGTCTTGACAATTATGTGAACAAGATAGACATTTTAAAACGAGTATCGTTCATTCTTTGCTATGGTACTAGCTATAATCAGACAGACCAACTGCGCTATATTCGGAGTCAGGAAGGAATTTTTCCCCAGATCAGATTGGCAAAGACCCTGGGGTTTTTCGCCTTCCTCTGCAGCGTGCAGCACGGGTCACTTGCAGGTTTACACTAGTGTAAATGGTGGATTCTCTGTAACTTGAAGTCTTTAAATCCTGATTTGAGGACTTCAGTAACTCAGCCTGAGGTTAGGGATCTAATACAGGAGTGAGTGAGTGGGTTGGATTCTGTGGCCTGCCCTGTGCAGGTCATCAGACTAGATGATCACAATGGTCCTTTCTGACCTTAAAATCTATGAGATGACAAAACTGCCAGCGAGACATAGCACACTGTAACACTAGTCTGTGGAAGAAATAGCAGTGCTAATCTAGCAGGACTGTAACAGTCCTAAATCAGATGAATTAACACTGCACTGAAAACTGCTTCAGTCTCAGAACAAATATCTAACGTAGCAATGGCCAATTTTCTTATTTCTGTGTGAATTTATTGTTGTTGTTGCTCTTGCTGGAAGAATGGTGATTTAACTTGGCAGGACAATCATCAAGGCAGCCAGACTGTATTCATTACACTTCCAAAGTCTGGCTCTCTCACTTGTATTGTTTAACCAACACCAGATCAGTTGTCACAATATTTGAATGAACTGGAATGTTTATCCAATCCATATAACATTGTGTTACATTTCCCCCCATTCTTTCACATGGCAAAGGCTTCTGTACTGTAGTGGAAAAATGTCCAGTTCTAAGGCAAAACTCAGCCCTGATGTAGGTCAGCACGACTCCATTGAATTCAATGGAACTATGCCCACCTGTATTAGAGCCAAATTTAACCTGTAATGTCCCGCAAACTGAGGAACCATCTTGTGTTACTGTACATAACAGAGCCACACAGAGGTCTGATTTCCATCTTGAAGTGTGTATTCTAAAATAACCTATCTAGGCTTAGTTACGTTAAGAAATTTCGTGATTTTTAAATGTTTTGGTAAAGAAAGTCCTGATAGCAAATTCTGAGCAAGCCTGGGGGCTCAATCCTGTTCTGTTAACTCCAATGATATCTAGATCAGGTCCTAAGATTTTGAGGAGAGGAAAATGCAACATTTCTCCCCTCAAAAATCCTTCCCATGTATCCTCTTTCAAACCCACGAAAGCCTGGGAAGGATAAGCTAGCCACAACAAGACATAAAAAGCTTTATCTGTGGAGATGAGATGCTCAGTTGCATATTAACATTTTGGGTCCATTTTCTTTACAATAAACAACTGTGAGATCTACGTGTTGGAAATGCACCCTATTAGCTAATCATTACTTGGAGACTGCCATCTCTTTCCTTTTTTGATATTTTTGCCTCCGTGGCTCTGTGTGCATCCATGTGTGTAATATAAAAGATATGGTAGTGAGTTGTGGGCTTTTTATTAGGTATTGAGTGTTATTACAAAATACTCAAGGAAAGGACAGCCAGACCTAGACTGTGCACGACCATCCATGATGAGGAACACTGAAAAAGGTCTAGTACAAAAACAGGCTAGAGATAACTAGAGAGTAGCTACTAGTAAATAGTTTGTTATATTTAGAGTTTTGTCAATCTAAGATTTCTCTGATAGGATCCATCACATATGTTCCTGATTCAGCAGAGCACTTAATCACATGCTTTTCAGTGCTTTGCTGAATCAGGACTGATCGCATGTATCATACTACGATAAATAGTATCATATTGCCCATGCTAATGTAGTTGAAGAAATAAGCTTCAGTTATTTCTCATTGGTATCGTGTGTGTGTGTGTGTGTGTGTGTGTGTAAATAAAAACATATATAATACCCACACACAATTATATATAAATAATATATGATGATATGAGGTGCTGTTAAGGGGTCTTGGCAGAAGTTTGGGATGATCCCATTATTTGTCCGTCTGAGTTATGCAGAGCATTCCAAAAGGTGATACCTCAAACTGTCATAGTTAGTCACTTCCTTTGTTTCCATTTTGTTCATTTATTAGTTTCCCTCTGCTTTTCTCCCCTTCTGAAATATGTTAGAGAGATACTGGTAGGTTTTACAAAACCAAACATCAATATAAACTTTCTTCAAGATATTTAAAAAACAAAATTTCCAGTGAAAACTGTTCTTCTTCAGATTCAAATATTGTAGCATCATGATAGTGTGTGAGAGCCTGAAAGGGAAACTCCCTGCTGAGGAAAATTCAGAAAGGTGAGCAATATACATGGTCCTGCAAAAAAGATCTACCTCTGCAGAGGCCTCCTGAAAGCCACGTGGACAAGTTTCTTTATAAGCTAGGGGCCTGTATTACTACTACAATTTATTTCATTTTTAATAATTTAAGATGAGTGATAAAGGAGTTTTTTGGAGTGTGTCTTTATGTTGCAGTAGTTGAAAGCGACTGTGTATTAGTAATACAAATACTGAATAAAAGCGGGTCTCTATTCTAAACATGCCAATACTGTTACTATAAAATAGCAGCCTCTTCTGATCTCATTTAACAGTTCTCCTTAGCACTGCAATGTAAGCATTCCAGCTAAAATCATTAAAGATTTAAATTTTAAATGTAGCCTTCAGAAGCTGCAATTTTGAGCTGCCTGAATATTCTTCATTTCAGTTTGAAAATTTATCCAAGAGAAACTCCCTCCTAATGAGCACTGGAGACCAACTCTCTCATGGAAGAAACACAACTACAGCTGAAAACGAAAACAGTAATAAGTGCCTTTCATAAGAATGGCCATACTGGGTCAGACCAGTGGTCCTTCTAGCTCACTATCCTGTCTTCTGACAGTGGCCAATGCCAGATGCTTCAGAGAGAATAAACAAAACAGGCAATCGTTGAGTGATCCGGCCTGTCATCCACTCCCAGCTTCTGGCAATCAGAGGTTTAGGGACATCCAGACCATGGGGATGCGTCCCTGACCATCTTGGCTACTAGCCATTGATGGACCTATCTGCCATGAACTTATCTAATTCTTTTTTGAACCCCACTATAGTTTTGGCCTTCACAACATCCCCTGGCAGAGTTTTCCACAGGTTGACTGTATGTTATGTGAAGAAGTACTGCCTTTTGTTTGTCTTAAACCTGCTGCCTATTAATTTCAGTGGGTGACCCCCCCTGGTTCTTGTTTTATGTGAAGGAGTAACAACTCCTTATTCACTTTCTCCACACCTGTCATGATTTTATAGAGTCTATCATATCCCCTCTTACTCGTCTCTTTTCCAGGCTGAAAAGTCCAAGTCTTTTTAATCTCTCCTCAGATAACATTATTAGCTTTTTTGACTCCTGCTGCACACTGAGCTGATATTTTCAGAGAACTATCCACAATGACCTCAAGATCTTTCTTGAATGGTAACAGCTAAGGTAGACCCCATCATTTTGTATGTATAGACAGTATTATGTTTTCCAATGTGCTGTACTTTGCATTTATCAATATTGAATTTAATCTGTCGTTTTGTTGCCCAGTCACACACTTTTGTGAGTTCCCTTTGTAACTCTTTGGAGTCTGCTCTGGACTTAACTATCTTGAGTAATTTTGTGTCATCTGCAAATTTTGCCACCTCACTGTTTATTGCTTTTTCCAGATCATTTATAAACATGTTGAACAGCACTGGCCCCAGTATAGACCTCTGGGGGGAACACCACTATTTACCTCTTTCCATTCTGAAAACTGACCATTTATTCGTACCCTTTGTTTTCTGTCTTTTAAGCAGTTACCGATCCATGAGAGGACCTTCCCTGTTATCTCATGACTGCCTACTGTGCTTAAGAGCCTTTAGTGGGGGACCTTTTCAAAAGCCTTCTGAAAGTCCAAGTACCCTATCTCCACTGGATCACCCTTGTCCACATGTTTGTTGACCCCCTCAAAGAATTGTAATAGATTGGCGAGGCATGATTTCCTTTTACAAAAGCTATGTTGACTCTTCCCCAACAAATCTTGTTCATCTGTGTCTCTGATAATTCTGTTCTTTACTATAGTTTCAAACAATGTGCCAGGTACTACAGTTAGGTTTACCAGCCGCTAATAGCCAAGATCACCTGTGGAGCCTTTTTTTTTAAATTAGTGTCACATTAGCCATCTTCCAGTCATCTGAATAGAAGCTGATTTAAATGATAGGTTACATACCACAGTTAGAACTCTTGGGTGAATACCATCTAGTCCTGGTGACTTATTACTGGTTAATTTATCAATTTGTTCCAAAACCTCCTCTATTGACATCTCAATCTGGAACAGTTCCTCAGATTTGTCACGTAAAAAAAATGGGTCAATCTCTCTCTCATCCTCTGCCGTGAATGCAAAGAATTAATTTAGCTTCTCTGCAATGGTCTAATCTTCCTTGAGAACTCCTTTAGTACCTTGAGCGTCCAGTGGTCCCACTGATTGTGTAGCAGGCTTCCTGCTTCTGAGGTACTTAAAAAAAATTGCTGTTAGTTTTTTAAATCTTTGGCTAGTTGCTCTTCAAATTCTTTTTTGGTCTACCTAATTATACTTCACTTGCCAGAGTTTATGCTCCTTTCTATTTTCCTCAGTAGGATTTAACTTCCCATTTTTAAAGGATTTCTTTTTGCCCCTAACCTTTTACTTTGTTGTTTAGCCATGGTGCCACTTTTTGTTCTTACTATGTTTTTTGATTTGGGGTATACATTTAATTTGAGCCTCTATTATGATGATTTAAAAAAGTTTCTGTGCAGCTTGCAGGCATTTCACTTTTGTGACTGTACCTTTTAATTTCCGTTTAACTAGCTTCCTCATTTTTGTGTAGTTCCCATTTCTGAAGTTAAATGGTACTGCGGTGGACTTCTTTAGTATATTTCAAAAGGAATAGCAAAATTTCGTGCACAAAGACTAGTCAACCGGAGATGAACATTTTGGCAAGGCATTTCCTCCAAAGGGAGATTTTGTTTGTATACCGCCTTTTCTCTGCGCAGAGTCAACATTTAGATCTATTCTGATGCAAGATTGTTTATCTTTCATTTGGGAAGACATTGATAAATTGTTGGTCCTTTCTTGGGAGGATTTTATCTGAAAACTTGAACCTAATCATTGAGTTTAAGGGAACCAGGATTTAGCCCTTAAGCTCTTTGGATGTTTTATGTAATCAATCTTTGCTCATTTTAAGAATACTATGTAGGAGAGCATTAATGAAGCAATGATATATTTATCTGAAAATATTTTTCCTATAGGTCCAATAAGAGTTACCTTGGTGTTTTTTCTCATGCTTCTCACCTAATGCATGGGTGGGTACATATTAGCTATCTAGTCATCTCTAGAATGTGAATTATACGCACATTATAAGCACAAAAAGGGAGAGTAGGCTTGAAGAATCTGGCCTGCTATGCATTAGATATGGCCCTTAAGAATTTCTCTGGAGTCATTTTGGATTGCTTTTTTAATATAACTTAAGAATGGACATACTGGGTCAGACCAAAGGTCCATCTAGCCCAGTCTTCCGACAGTGGCCAGTGCCAGGTGCCCCAGAGGGAATGAACAGAACAGGTAATCATCAAGTGATCCATCCCGTCGCCCATTCCCAGCTTCTGGCAAACAGAAGCAGGATCAGATGAGCACTGATGTTATATAAAATATCCTAATGTCAGAGGGGAAAAACATGGACATTTGGGCCTTTGCCAAACAAAAGAGTTACCCTTTTCATTAATTGGCATTGTGTTTGGGCTTTTGCACAATGCTGTAAAACAGAGTTAGAGCTTAATTGGGGCAGCATCAGACTTAACATTGAGACAAAATGAATACTGGAACTCAACTCAGAACCTACTCAACTTTGATCTTCAAAGGGTTTTCTCCTCATGATATTTTCTTTCTATTTTCAGGACAATTTTACGACATAGGAGATGAGAGGGGACATGGGGAAGATCATTGTCAATTTGTGGACTCATTTTTAGATGGACGGACAGGGCAGAAAGTTTTCCCAGACCAGCTACCAACCAAAGATGGTAAGTTCTGAAGAGTATACTTGTAACAAAACTCTCAAAATCTCCCCCAACCCCAGGGTCTGATTTTTCTCCTGCTGATGGCTTTAAGGCTAATACCCATTCTGAGTTAGATAGCTAAATTACATCTCTACCCTATCTTCACAGCAGATCAAAACTATCCTTCATGCCTGGCACGATGCTATGCCACCCCACGCCCCCAAAACCATTTATTTACACAGAAAAGATGTACTGTTTTAGGTATATCAGTGTGATTAAAGCACAACAACAGACTGTAGGGTGGATGTAGTCTACCCATATACCTTTCCTATACAGGGAAATGGAATAAGCTATACCAGCATAAGGCATCCGCACTACGGTTGCATATGGCTATTGATTTAGGTTTTTAAAAAAACCTAACGGAGGTATTTATATCAGCACAAAATCAGAGTGTAGACCAGGCCTTAATGTTTGTTAGGTGCTTTGCACATTAAAAGCACATATTAAGCCCTAAATACTAATAAAATCCCCATAATTTAACTGTTATGTCCAAAAAGGATAAATCTGAACCTCTTGCAGGTACCTTCCTGAGAGCAAATAAATGTTTGTTTGCATTCAAACTGGCATTGTCAAGTCAGTAAAGCTCAGAAATGCCAGATTTAGTTTTTAAAAGCATTTATACACAAGTACAGTACCTGGTAAGCTTGCAAACGCCACAACCAGAATGAATGTTTGCCTTCAGGTACTGAGCTTAACAGTTTATACCTCAGCTGCTAAATCTTCCGAAAGATCATATTTACAAAAGTTTCCACAGGACAAGTTCACTATGCATTTCACTTGAAGTTGCTATGTTAAAAGCTAACTGGGATTTTTCCCAATGTTAACATAACTACAAGAGGGTCACTTATTGGCTAATCTTCTCCAAAAGTAAAACCAGTTTCAGCAGATGCTCACTTTTTTAAAGCAGAAGGCTGCAACTTTAACTTTGGCACACCGTCCCCAACAGCAGGCAGTTCTCTGGCTCCAGTGTGGTGGCAAATAACCACTATTCTGTGCTGGCCCTTTTCAGTCTACCCACTAGGGTTCAGACCACTCAGAATCCTCTCCCTGCAAGAAGAATTGAGGGGACATATGAAAGCCTCCCCCATCTTCTTACAGGCTCATAGTGTTCCCCAATAATCTCCTGGGTGTGTTTACCTCTGGGCGCTGGCACCTTCACAGGCATTAGATGCCAGCTGCAATGAAATTCCAACCTCTCAACTTTTAAACTCTGTCCTTACTCCTCATTAACCTCACACCAAGCTTCCAGGATACTGCAAGGAAAGTGGGGGAAAAAACACCAAGCACCTTGTCATTCTTGCCCCAGGGAAAATTCCTTCCTGATCCCCAAAACTGGCAAAACCCACAACATCTGGGATACAGTTCACATGTGTGTCTATTATAGGGCTGGGCAGCACAGCAACCCCTGCACATGGCTGCTGTGTGCCTTGAGGGCTTCATATATCCCAAAGGGAGGGGTATGAGACATTCTCCCCTCCTCCCCCACAAGCACTTTCAGTGGCAACAGGGAGAAAGAGTGAGTTCTCCACTTCCTGCCTATTTGCCATGTGCATTCTGGATAGGGAGGCCCCAGAGAAGGCAAGCCGTGCTATCCCCTCCCCTTGCCCCACACACACCACGTCAGGATGGCAGGGGGTGTTTCCTCTTCTCCCCACAACTTGTCCAGAATGGATTATTGTTGTGTGCTGCTGGACAAAGTATTTTCTCTTATTTGCTATGGTATGTGTCTAAATTCAGCTTACAGTATTCAGGCAGTTGGTAAGGGCTGAACTTTCAATTGAGCTTCTGAAGTCAGATAAACTCCCTCTGAGAATCAGGAGCACCTTTGGAAGGTAGTGTCTTTTTCTCCCCGCCCTGTACTAAGCCTTTCCTCACTGTTTATTAGGCTTTTTCAGAGCAGTTCGCCAGGAACCTGTCAAGTTTGGAAAAATAGGTGGAGGGACCCATATTGCCTATGTTCATTGGTACGAGTGTGGAACTTCAATACCTGGTAAATGGTAGCTGCTACATGAACTTGAAAATGAAAGAAGGTCTATCACTACCCTGCCCTTACCCCCAACAAGTTCAGAGATGGAAATGTTTATGGTCTTCCTGTCATTTAAACATGTTTACCCATGTATAAAGTTTATAAAACTCTAATGACAATACTGCATTGTGTTTAATAGCATAGGCTGCTTACTATAGTTACTCCATTTTACCAAAAAGCAAGATAAGCACATGTCATACAATAAGGTCTGGGGAAGCTGGCTCCCTATATTGTGGGTATCAAGGTACAGTTTATATGGTATTTTAAAAGATACAGTTTGTATATTATTTATCACAATGTTGTAATAAATATTTTGAGGGAGAGTTATGGCAAAGCTGATCGTGAAACTTCAGTATACATTTAATTTTAGATATTCAGTCTGATTGTTACTGAAATATATAGTGTCCTATGCTACCTGTCAAGGTAATTCTGTAAAGTCTCTGGCAATTTCTAATTCAATAATTTACAGTACATGGGGAAAGCTCTCAAACTGACTTTTGTACTTTATAAATACTCAGATTGAAGAGCTTTTCCCCTTACAGCTAAATAGACAATTTGTGCTCTTGCCAAAATTGGAAGAAAGCTTGTTATATTTTAATGCTTTAGCACCAAGAAAGCAAGTCTAATTTTTTTAAAAATTCAAACATAGCTTCAAATCTATGACAGAAGTGTAGATTCTGTCACCAAGAAACTCAATATTAGAAACACATCCTATAATTTTAACCACATGACCAGGCAGTGTCCCTAAACACAGTTGCTACTTAAAATAGAACTTGATTAGCTTTGGTACTCCTCCATGCCAAATTGATGAATAGTATTTTTACTTATTCAGGTAGGCTTTGTGCATGGGGAACAGAAGTCAAATATGCCTCTACTGCAGTGGGTTTTCTGAAGTTTTGATGAACTACTTTGCAGGCCAAATGTATAGCACCACAGAATTTAATGAGGTGTAGGAGGATATGCTCGAAATACCAGTCTTTACAGCACAATCAGGTTTGCCTTAGTGAAAAAATGAGAGCTGTTTCAAAGAATTGTTAGTGTGGGACAAGGGACAAAGTAGAATGAAATTTAATTTTTTCAAAATTACTTTTTTAATAGTACTTCCATTAAAAATCTACTTATCCTTTCTTCCCTTCCCAAAATACTAGATGTTGTATTGCTTGAACATTTATGAACTAAATAAAGAGATTTTTTTTTTTTAAGCAGGGTCTTTATTCATTGTTTTTAAAAGGTATGAACAGGAACGCCAAAGAAATGTCATTTGTAGAAAATGCCTTATAAAGTACATTGCAGGTACACTGTACTCTAATAAAATATTTTTTACTCATGTAAAGTTGTTTTATATAGATTGGTTTTCTACTCAAGTGTTGTATATTGAGACAAAATGGTGGGTGAAAGGTAGCACCAAACTGGCAGCCTTCTCTTATCAGAAGAGGCTACATTACAAGCATCTCTCACCTACTCTGTCAATCCTTTTCTGAATAAACCTTCACTTTCTTCTTACTGTAGTGATGGATCGGGGTTTCTTGAAATATTTCCATTAGGTTTGCACAGCTCTTTAAACTGTTTTTCCTTGTAACTGATGCACTATGTACTTGCATGTGCTTGTTAACTGAAGAATATTGGGTTTGCACCTGTGGGTTTTGTTACAGGCATTGATTTGGTTTTTTTTCTGGGCTCCTAATGAAGTTTGTAGAATTACTCTCTCCAAGTTTCTCTGGCTGGCAAAAGGTTTGCGTTGAATATAATTTTTTTTTACTTGTTTGGCCTGGAAACATTAACACCAAAAAATTTCTATCAAGTCAAAGCTTCCACCGAATGACAGTTTTAAGCCACTGCTATGTCCCTCAATGTGAGCTGTATTAATGCAGTGAAAACTAATGTCATTTGGTAATCAGTGACAAGAGTTAGTCCTGAATATAACACATGCAAAAGCAATTTGTATTTGTCACAGGTAACGACTTTTTTTTTTTTTAAATTATCCTTTCCCTTAATGCCTGGCAAGAATAGATCATAGTCTCACAGGTATGCCTGTAAAAAGAAATGTGCTTAATAATTAAAAAAACAAGTACTGGATTCAATATTTTTATTAGCGTTCAATGTGAATGTTACAATTTATACATAATACCTAGTTTTAATTCCAGAGTGGGTCTAATTTAGTACATCATGTTATTAGTAAAAACAAGCCTGATACGTGGGCTAAATTTCCAACTAGCATTTTAATTTCCTTCAGACAAGGCAAGCTAGACTCTCAATCACCTTACAAACATTTAGGAAGTGTTTCCAAAAACCCAAAATCTAAGTAGGAAGCTGATATATTTTAAAGCAGGAGATAAGATTCATTTGGTCTTTTGTTCCAACAACAGTGAAAGAATGCTCTGACTTTTATCATCATTTTGGAACATCAATACCAATTTTAAATATTGGAATCTGTTGGGATGTAGTAGTTAATAGCTGCTTGTATTTACTTAGGTCATTCTGCAGCTGAGCTTCCTTATCGGTAGCCAGGTCCTGGCTGAGTATAGCCCTGAGCAAAGGGAGGACGGTTGCGTGCATACGGGTTAGGCCCACTTGGAGGGGGAGTCACGCCAGGGGGTGGCGTGAAACCTGGCCTTGGCTGATACGCGCCTGCCTGGCTTGGAGCCATTGCAGCTTGGGAAGCAGGGGCCACATTATAATTAGCAGGCTGGGAGGCTTGTGTCGTATAGTTCTGTGGTGGGTAGGAGCTTGCTGGGTACTGCTGCTGAGGCTGAGCAGGAAAGACAGGAGCAGGAGCCTGTGATGCCTGCTGACTGTATCCTTGGAACTGCTGTCCTTGTTGAGGAGCAGGCTGCTGGCTGTAGCCTGCTAGAAAGACAAAACAAACAACAAAACAATATAGTTAGGTGAAAATAAAGCAGCATATTTGCTTTGAGAAAGTGATTATTTCCTTGTAAACAGAGATATTTGAGTGATCGCTAATCAGCACAAGAAACAATCCCGAGATTTGATATATGCAACAGACACAGCTGGATGGTAATGAACTGCAGTTTTTCTTGTCCATCACATAAACACTAACTGTCTGTTCCATTTTAGCGCACCACACGCTCTAGTAACGGGAAAGAGTTTTTAATTCAGACCAAAATAAAGCTTTTACATTTAGACTGAAAGACACAACCCTGATTATAGGTTTTATACTGATAATTATTCCCAAGGTTTCTAATTGAGAAACAAAGGGAAAATAGTATACAGACTCTTCATTTTCACATTATGAAGGAATTTAAAGGTCTCCAATGTACATTGAAAAGCGAAGTTTCATTTGGGACAGGTGCTTTAACTTTGTTTCTTTCAGTAAGTAGATCATAAGTCAGTGCAGAATACTTGCACCGAATTCACACCTAAATCACTGCCTAGTGTTTTGTTTGGTTCTCAGCTTTCATTAACTAAAGATATGTCAAAAATTACAAATGTGAAAGCACTTTGCAGAACAGCACTTCTTAAGGTGCAACTGCTGCTGGCATCAGTTTAATATGTCCCAAATGTGATTTATTTGTGTAAAAGCAGCTTCCCTGGGACTTTCTCAGACTGGAGATATAAACAACAAAAATTCTTCTATAAAGTGATAGCTACTTTTATCTCTATCATGAAACACACCTGCAGCTACTTGCAATGAAATCTCTCCATTGACTGGAATCCTGTCAGCATTAAACACCAGATACATAAGAATTATTAAAAACGCACAGCCCTGAAGATAGAAAATAAGGATTGAAGAATGCATTGGAGTAAATTTTGAACTCACCTTGAAACTGGCCTCAAAATTTACTCGTGAAACAAACCTTTCAAAGGTTCCATTTTCATTGGCATGACCAAAAGTCAGCACTATGCCAAGCCCATCTGCCAGAAGAGGAGAATGGGAACTATAACCCACTGTTAGGGGAAGTGGTGCTTGAAAGGAAGTAGAGGGAGGAATATTCAAAACAAGTCCAATCCCTTTGATGAGGATCAAGGAATGAAAGCTACAGCGGGAAAGGATATAGATCTACCTTGACTGCCATCTGTGAAGAGTTTATTTATGAGGAGCCCTACCTTGGCAGATTAATCCAAGCATGAAAATAAATCTCTTTAGAAAAATAGTTCATTGCAATTTGAGGTTTCCAAATTTGTTTGGTTTCACTGACACTTTTAGAAAGTTGTGGAGTTTGAGAAAGTAGAACCCACAATTGAGCCAAACCTTCATAGAAACTCCTGGAAAGCATCAGATAGACCCTCCTACCTCTGCTGAAATTAGGTTTCAGGAGGTCTGACACTGTCTTCAAACTATGAATTTTGCGGGGGGGGGGGGGGGGGCTACACAGAGCTGTTAGCCCCAGCTTAGCAGAGTGCTGAGAGGAGGAAAAAGATGACACATTGAGAACAACAAACCTCCATGTCTGAAGTTTCCAAGGCTCTTACCCAAACCAAGTTTCAAGGCTGGCTTACCAGTTATGCAAAGGATAAACAGTCTATTCTTGAAAGTAAATTAAACTCTTCAAATTAGTGCACTTCGCTACATAAGTTTCTAAAACACCAACAGCTTCATCTATATAGAAACAAACAATTCCTATTCCTTGTGTATGTGATCTGCAAAGGTTTGCGTTTTTTGAGTGAGATAAAAACTTGGCATGTGATTAAACACTCTGAATTTACATTGTACCAATTGCCTGCAATGTAAGTTTAAAACAACGGGCAGAGATGCTCATACTGATATTTGTCTACTGGCCTTTATGAAACTTTCCATAGGGTTATAGGATCAGAGCAGTGTTACTCTGCAGTAGCTAAAAGGATGAATAAATACCTTTATTAATTGATTACTGTCTCAATAACTAAATAGCTGAATAAACTGAATTATTAGTAGGATCAATTATTAGATATTGTATAATTTAAAAGGAAATTCAAAGTTCCCTTTTTCCATGTCTTTGAACTGAAAGTAAGCCTAATATTTTTTTTATTTTGGGGCTGTGTAGAAGCCTAGCTTTTGATTCAGTTTCACCCCCTCAATCATGTAGCACAAGGTCACAGCATTAAAGTATTCTGCGGATAGAAAAAGAAACAGTGATAGTTCAAGTACTATTGACTTCTACAGTTTTTTTAAATCAGTCCTGGAAACTAGTTTCTTTTGGGTGACAGTTTGGATAAATACAGAAGAACTGCTACAATCCAGTATTCATACCAAATGTAAACTAATGGAAAAGCCTCAGTTTGCATGCTGATTTGTAAGGTATTGAGAGGTTGAGGCATTTTCTTGTACAATTTATTGGGTTGGGTGGCATCACTTGCTAGAGGCATCCGAGTGGAGTACTTCATCTTTTTTTCAACAGAACTAAAAACATGGTCTTTAGACAGCTTCTTAACTCCTTACAATTTTCTTTCCATTTGTCTGTCTTTGTAACAAGGCATTCTGTTGGGTAACCCTGAAAAATCCTCTCTAGTTCAGAATCAAGTAGCATTGAATGTTAGGAAATCAAACATCAGCATAAACTTTACATATCTACAGTTATTGCTAGGCGAACAGAAATACTGACAAATTAAGGGCAATACATTTTAAGGAGCTGCTGAATGCCCTCTAGTCCCACTGACGTCAATGGAAGTTAAGGATGCTCAGCGCCTTGCACTGCCACTCAAGTACAGCCGAAGTGAAAGTAATACTTTGGCACGAAGAAAAATTTAGTGATCATATTCTGCACCTACACAGAAATTTGAAAACAGCAGCTGCTTACCTGGGTACTGCACACCATATTGTTGCTGAGGCTGAACTTGTGGCTGCTGAGCAGGATAACCGGCCTGTTGGTACTGTTGATACATCTGGCCTGTGAATTAAAAACACGGTTTTTAGTAAAGTAACAGTACCTGAGGCCCAAAATCTGACATCATACACAATGGTCGGGTAGACAATGGCTAAGAATCAATTTGGGTCTCAAAGAGCCCATCCTATAGCACATTTTTAAAAACGGAATTAACTACAACAGATCGTAGAATGCTTCGCATAAGGGTTAGTTACAAGGTGTTCTACTAGCAGGCACTTGTCTGTACAGATCCCACAATACTGGTCTAATATGAAGTAAGTTTTATTTAACCTGCAAAGCCCAGTAAACACAAGCTTTTTCTTAACAGATTGTGGGTTTTGGAGAGGCTGTATATGTGATGCAACAAGAATCATGTGCCATAATTAACAGTGGCTTAGCTCAGGGCTAGTGATGTTTTTATTGTTTAATAAAGGATCTTAATAAATAGGGCTTAAAAAAAACTAGGGTGTTTTCCTCTTTAATCTCCACTGTCTGCCTGTTTATACCACGGTTCTAAAATGTTTTCTATGGG